AGAAAATATACAAGCCCCGTTTACATCAGAACAAACAATATCATTACTCAATACTTTGGAACAAAATTAAATTCCTTAACTATCTTTTCTCATACAGTATTATCCTTTGTAACAATATTCCTTTTTACAAATGTAAATATAGAAATCAATAAATTATATTTAGATGAATATTTTACAATTTTAAAATTATTAATAAGATTATTATTGTCATCTTCCTTAACACATTTTTGGGATTATTTGTACCTGCCTATGATAATTATTTAACTAATTATTTATAAATAAAAGTTGAAAGTTTTTTTACCTACTTAAGAACTAATTTTATAATCTATTAGAGCACAATATTAATCTTGAGTATCATCTGAAGTACTTTTCAAGCAAAAGCTAAGTTATTTAAATTAAACTAAATTTTTGGTTTGTAAAATCGAAATTTAAAAACCTTTAAAAACATTATATAGCACCAAAGACTCCATTTTCTCCTTCCTACAGACATTTACTTGTTTTATCTTCTCTCCCAGGATTTTAAATTGACAAAGGTAGACAAACTTAATTGAGTAAACAATAGCCTTCAGCACAATATAAAGATTAATCTGTGTATGCTGGTTAGCATTTTTAGTTAACATCTCTAGCAATCGGTAGATTAATACTTAAAGGTTGACACTAACCTTAATAATTGATACAATAAAAACCCTCAAAGCAGCTTATTGTGGAGGCTATCATTTTTATAAGTAAATATTATTACTTTCTATCATTCATTCATTTTATTTAAATCAAATAAGTGAATACTTACGTAAAAATAGATCTTAACATTTCCCTAAATTATTTTTTGCAGGAACCCTATTTCCTGGATATTAAGTGCTTTCTAATTGTAACGAATGGCATAAATATCTTTAATTTTTGGATCTTATTTTTTTAAATTAGATAAAAAATTTTTTAATTATATTTTTGTATATTCTTTAGTATTTAAATGCTGCTAAAATTACAATGTTGGTATTTTGAATATGCAATAATAAGGATCTCCACATTCATCAATACCTTTTGATTTAATTAATAATTATTATTTTTCATAAATCTTTATCTTAATTTAATTATTATATTTATAGTGTGCACAGTATTAATAAATAAATAATTTTGAAGTAAAGAAACTAAAGCGAATATTTATTTATTTGTTAATATTTACCAATTTTACTAATTTCAAACTAAGCTAGACATCTTTGAGATAAACTTTCTAATCCTACATATTACTTATCTTCCAGGTAAGTACCTATCTGAAAGCAATATCTTTAATTACTTTTAACTTAAATAATGCAGAAGCCGGTTGGGCAACTCTTTATTTTTTATCCCTTTTACTGAATACTTTAATAAGGGAGACAAGAGGTGGTAATTATTTCTTTGGCAAAATTAGGTAGGGATGTATCTTGAGACATATCAACACAAACACCATCCATTAAACATTATTTAGCCTTGCGGCATTTTTTTCTATATTTTATGATTAAAGTTAATATTATATCATCATGAAATTTATATTTACGAAGGAAAACTTGGCTGGCAATAGCCATCATCGTCTTAAGTAGAAGTTATCCCAGTATATGTCATTTTAGTACATTAGACATAATATATATCTTCACATACTTACTAACCACCACCACCACCTCCACTACCACCACCACCATCTTTTAAAATTCTCCTATTATGGCACTATTTTTCTACAGTTTACAATATACAAGAACCATCAGAGCATATTAATTTTTAATTTTAACTATCTAAGTTTAACATATTTAACATAATGAAACTAATTTTTTTAATTAAAAAAAAATACCTAAAGACTATTTAAGAATACGTACATCTTAAGAAATGCAGGTTCCTATTTGATTCTTTTCTTTCTTATAAATAGCACCCTAAATTTTATAAAAATACCTAATTAAATAGATTAATTGCAAACAGAAAAAATTACAAAAGTTTTTGGGTTTTCTATTGTCATCAATTCACAAGATTTCTGACCATTATCCTCTAAAATGCATGTAGATTTTTCTTCTGGGGAGTAAAAACACTCTATAAACTCAGTTTCTGAGTTAGTTGAGCATGAATTATCATTTTTTTTAGAAATATTTTCAAAATCATCCATTTAAACGCAAGAATATTTTGAAATACAAAATCTAATAAATAATTATTAAATAGTAGCAAAGTTTTTAAGAATAAAACTGAAAAAATTTACCCAAAAATGCACATTTCAATTAAATTATCATCATCAGAAAATACTTCGTTTTCTTTAGCACACAAATATTGTTAGGTTCTTCCGACGATGTTATTATTTAAATCTCCAACTTGTAGAATATGAGAAGACTCAAAAAGACAATAAGGGTTTTTCAAAAATACTAAATCTAAATATTTTTGAATAATTAAATAAGTTGACATAATTAAGATAGTAATTAAATACTTTTATTGATAATTAAATCTGCATATTTGTCTTTGAAGATGCATTCATTAGTTTGATTAATAAACGCAACACCAATTACATCATCTATAGACTCATAAGTAGTGCATTTGTTTATTTATGTGATTGAATTCTTTAGTAAGCAAACACTTTTATCACTAAAGCAAGACTAAATTTACCCTTCTTAATTAAGTTATGCACAATTTTAATTAATATCTCTTGCTGCATTTTAATTTGAATCCATAGGTATGCAAATGTCATTAGATAGACAATATCTAAGAATTATAGTATTTTAAACTCAAAAATAAATAAATAAAATAAAAAATACTAATATTTGCAGCTACATTTCATACTATTTGGCTTTTAATAAAATTCATCTAACGAAAAGTCATCTTTCAGACAATATTCAAATTTTAGATTGATTAAAACTAATAAATTTGATTTATTCAAAAGATATTAATTAATTTATTACTAGTAATTTAATTTATATTTACTTAGAGGAATGTCTATTTTCAATTGATCAGTAACATCTTGTTTTTCTATGCAAATCAAATTCATTTAAGCATCTTTATATATCCCTATATATTAATCCTAAATATCTTCAGTTATTTTTATGCACATTGTATTTTATTTATTTTTGCAGACATTACTTTTTCCATTTTTTTCTATATCAAAACATTTATTCACCTGTTTGACTATATCTCTATCAAATAAGCATTTTTAGCTATCAGAATCTATTCCTACAATATCAGAAGACAGCTATATGCACATATTTATAAATACTGAATAGCATTAATTTTCACCACATAGATCTGCTTTTGTTTAAATTATATAATGACTAAAAATGATTTATATTACAATAAAAATCCTCATTTTATATTAATAATAATTCTTTAATATTCTTTTTTTTTGTTTCAAATATTGATTATTTAATTAACTAACTAATTCTCATTAGATATAAAATCTGCCAATAATTAATCAAATAGGTTTAATCTTTTTGTTATTGATAATTTTTTTTTATGAAAAAGTAAACCAATAATTTTGGTTATTTACATATATAGCAAGTAGGAAGCATATCCAGATCGAGGTAGAAATATACTTTTTATGAATAATTTTTGATATCAAAATATTTAGTTTAAAAAAAGATACTTTCTCTAAACTGTAATTGAAGTTTAGATTTATAATATATATCAAAAATTTTTATTAGATATATATTAGCTATAAAATATTTTGATAATTCAGCTTATAAAATAATATATATTAAATAAGCAAATAAATATTTTTATTAAAACGCAAGTTAACAGTGTTTAGGATAATATCTTTTTAATTTTGTTACAGTCAAGGGAATCATTAATCTAAAGATACGAATTAAAATATAGTCTTTTTAATTAAAAAAATATAATATATTTCATTCGCAAAAATTCTTTTCAAATTGTATTATGCCTATATGGTTAATTATTTCTAGCTTTTAAAATTTTACTATTTTAGACTAATTTAAGCTGGATAATGACATTAAAAATTATTTTTTGTTTTTGATTTATTAGTATTTATAAAAAATCATAACATCATATTTATTATTTTTATTAAGGAAGGCTTTAGTTACATTAAGATTAATTTCAGAAAATAATATTTCTATGGATATTACTAATTCTTTAAATCTATTCAGTTTTTACCTTTCAAAAAAACTAATCTTTTGATATCATTAATTTCTAAACATTCAATAGTATTTTATCAATTTCAAAAACTAAATCATCTTGCTTTTACTTTTTCTTTTTATTAATAGATATTTTATCTTATCATTGAAGCAAAACAAATTTCTCCTCTAATTATTGCAAAATCCATAATTAGAATATATTATGGATCAAACATCTGTAATCTTAACTAAATTAGATACTTATATTTAGATATAAATATAAAATATTTTTTATAAATTTAACTTTATCATTTGTATTTCTTTTATCTTTGCAGTTTTTTGGAAAATATTTTTACAAATTTAATTTCAGAAATTAGGTCTTACTTATATTTTTCTTGATAAAAACTCAAAAGAAAAATTAAAAAAATAATTAATAAAATAGCTAAAATTCATTAATTTAAAGTCAGTGTTAGATATTTTTAATTTTTTTTTGCATCTTCTTCTTTTTAGATATTTTTTATTAACTGTAAATCATTCAATTTTTTTCAGAATTCTTGATCTTACATGGTATTACATTATGTTTTAACATTTTTTGACAAGATAAAAAGAACAAGTACTAATTGATTGATTTTTAATATGATTAAAAATATTTTATTCTGAATTTTTTTTTGCTGAAAAGGGAGGGTGGATTTTCATGGGTAATCAAAAATTCAACCTTAAGAATTGGATTATCAATTTTTTGAAGATTAAATCTAAAAGATTAGAAATATTTTATAAACCCTGCTCTTAAATATTCATAAATCTAAATTTGTTATTAATTTGCAATTAATTAATTTGTTATTATTGTTTAGGAATAATATTTCTTAAATATTAATAAATAAATAAGAATTCTAAATTTTATTTCATAACTCAATTATATTAAAATATCTAAATTGAATGAATGCAAGGGTATTTAATTTAATTACTTTTATAAAAAATGAGGTTTATATATATGAAAGCTTTTATTTTCTTTGTTTATTAATAAATATACCTATATATATATTTATTGGTATATTTTGCAAAAGGAATATATAATCCTTAAATATTCCACTTTAAATTTTATTTTAAAAATAAATAAAATAAATACTCCTTAATAAGTTCAATAAACTTTCATTTAATTTTTCTGCAAACTGGAAAATTATTTCTAAATCTAATTAAATTGAGAATTTCTAGAAAATTTGGCGGACAGATACTATTATCAAGAAATTATAAAAAACTAAAAAAAAACAAAATAAAATTCACCAATAAAAAATAACATATAAATAAGACAAACATATTTATATTGGTTTTTGTAATTAAAATAGGATATTAAAGTTAGAGGATATATTAAAAATATATATATAACAAATTTAATAAGAGATATTATAAAGCCTAATTGTAATTTTTATAAATCGTTATTTTGAAAGCTTTATTGCGAATAAAAATAAAATTTAGGGTGAAAATACTTTAAGAATATTTTATTTTATTAAAGAAAAATTTATAATTAAAAAAAAAATATTTTTTAAACTTAAAGTAATTGAAATTAAATAATAAAATATTTAAAAAAAAAACTCTGAAAAATTAATTCACATTAGTTTAGTTAAAATATACAATCTATGAATATTTAATAACTCTTTTTTTTGATATTTAAGACTTAAACGCTAAAAAATAGGAGGCGTAGTTCATATTGAGGTACAGAAATGCTAACAAAAAAGGTACAACACAACTCCGATTTCAATATTTATTTTTAGTAATAATTAATTAATTTTTTTTTAAATGTCTAAAAAGGGTATTTTATTTTGGAATGTATTTTGATATGTTGCTATAAAATTATTTTTCATTATATTTATCAATCTATATCTACATACTGGATATTCTCAGCCTTAATAACTTCCACAAAAGTATTGGAGATTACTTTTTTTTAGCATTTATACTATTCTTTTTAGTTTTACTTACAATTTTTTTAATTACTAATTTAACTTGATCTCTAGTTACCCAATATAAGAATCCGCTAATACATGTAATATTCAAAGCTAAAAATACAATAAAAATTCTTTCTTGATAGGAAAATTAATTCAGATTTTCAATCATTCCAAAGTTGATAGTTATTAAAATAGAAATAAAAATCTCAAAGTAATTAAACTAGAGCCTATTGTAAGGGTAAACTATTTTATAATTTAACAATATATTTTTATGTTTAAATAAAAATTATTTTACAGTATAGCAGTGTTAGGGTGTATGACAAATACAAAGAGCATAATACTGAGCCTTTTAAATATACATCAAAAATGAAGTAATTATCTATTACTATTATCAGCAGTCTTATCAGTATTTAGTAAAAATACCACCAATAATGTTTATAGAATTAGTTAAATGTACTTGAAATTTTCCTGCAATTAGTAAAGGATTTATTTTCTCTATAAATATAGATAAAAATTAAAAAAATAAAGAGCAGTTAAAAGCAAAAACAAGGTGTTAGCATTTTTTTAACAAAAAATTAATGGTCATCATCACATTTAATATTAGGATATTAGCTTACATAGAATTAATCATCTACTTAAATGCAAAATATCTTTTTTTAGAATTAATTTGAATTAAAAATATTAAAAATAGAAAATTAATTAATTAATTACCATTCTTAAAGTTGAATCTATTGTATGAGTTAATAAATGGATGATGAAATATATTAAGACAGACATATGAGCTAAATGGTCTTAGTTTTTTAAAATTATAAAGCAAAGAAGCGCAAAAAAACAAATTAAAAAGTTAAATATCTACAGAATGATTATTCTAACATAGTAGTAGGATTGTTAATTATCTTAAAAGTAAATACTCTAAGACAATACACAGTCAAGTAATTTTAGAATGATTTCTGATGGATTTCCAAAACCTAGAAAAATCTACTTTAAATATATTGGCAAGTAAATCATATTTTTTGCACACAATGACAGTTGAGTAAAGCAATTAAGTAAAATGTTAGATATTACAAAAAATCTTTAATCATATTTAAAGTATATTTTCAAAACTTGAAATACTTTTTATATTTTTAAATAGTCCATCAGCATAAAAATAGATTTTGCAATTTTGATAAACAAAGTTATACTAAGCAGAAGTACTATGATGTCGATCATTAAATTAGCATTGAATTATCCACATCTAGTTATTTATATATTTTTATTAACAAATTAATTTTTAGAAATTTTAATTATTTTACTTTAAACAAGTGTAAGTTGCAGCTTGATAATACCTTTCATTCCAATACTTTCCATACAAATCACAATCCATACATAATGCTCCAATATTTCCTTTAATGTTAAAAGTTAATTTTAGAATTGAATTTTTAGTTAAAATTAATTAATACCTTCTTCACAATAACGATTTTCATCTGAATACTATTCTGCTATTCCTATTCTATTAATGTCTCCTACACACTAAAAGTATCCGTAACATTCGATGTAATTATAGCTATTATTTTTTGATCTCCAAAATCCTCTTGGTAAATAAATGCTAGTCTTTTTGCATAAAAAATTATCTGGACATTTATGACATTTATCACCGTCATTTAAATTATACATAAATTCAAGGCAGGGATTACATATATCTTTTTTTATAGTATCATTAAAATAACTTGTACCTACAGAGCATTTTTCAGCTATATTTATTTCTATCTCAAAAGAAATATTAGTTTCCATTTTAATTAATTCACCATCTTATTTATAAATAGGAGACTTGGCATACTCAGAAGATATTTATAATATTATTTGTTTTCCAAGCCTTCCAAAAACATTTATTTTATCTTTTATGTGAAAAATACCACTTTTTTATGATATATAATTCTAATCAATGTAATAATCTTCTCCTTTCAAAACTTAAACTTTTAATTTAATTTCTTCATTCAGAGTTGTTATAGGCTAATCTTCATTATTAACTAATTACAGAACAATTTCATCCTATTTAATTAAAAGAATTTAATTTTATTTAAGTATAAAATAAATGGTTAATTCATAATTAATAGATTAGTTTAATAAATTCTCTTTATCTCATCAAATTAGTGTTTTCATTATGTTATAATAATAAAATGATATCATCATGTAAATATTATGTAAACAAATTTAAATTTATTTTTTTTTACCTTAAATTTTCCACTCAAATGCTTATTTATTGATAAAGATTTTCTGTAAGTTTATTTATCCTTGATGCCTATAAATTGAACAGCAAATTAGATTAGATTATTATTGTAAAGTTATGCTTCGTTTTAAGATAGCTTATTATCAAAATGATAGTGTAGTGGCAGATTCTACATTTGATAAAAACTACTTCCGATTCTAGCTTTATTACTGTAAAATATATTTTTTATTAAGTGGATTTTTTAAAATTGATCCAATTTATCATTTAGATCAGACACTATTGCTCCTCCAAATTAATTTGCATTATTTTCTTAGAATTTGCTTTTTATTATGTATAAATAAGTATTTTATGCCAAGATTGATCCTCCGTTATTCAAAGCAGTATTTTTTAAAAATGTTGAATTATAAATTGTTTAATTTTAATTTGATTTTCTAATTAAATATTCTTCATAATATGAATAAAAATGTAAAAATCTAAGTGTAATTATTTCATCTTCTATATATTTTGAAATTGAAAGAGCTCCTCCATTTAGAGCTGTATTCAATTGAAAAGTGCTATCAGCAATTAAAATGTGATTAGAAATTACCCGCAAATTTCCTTAAGCACATTTACTGCAAGTATTGTTTATGTAAATAATTTACTCCAATTTAATTGAATTTGCTTAAATTATTATCATTGAATCTGCTACAAATAGATTTAGATTATAAATTATTTATTAATTATCAAAAAATTAATCTTTTGACAAACTTAAGTTTTTTATATTAGTCATTTTAAGTAAGTAATTTTATACTTTAAAATTACTTATTTTATTTTAAGCAAGTTGAAGATAATTTATCGAATCAAAGATAATTAAACTTTAAAAGATAAACGAATACTAAGTTTCTTTAGAATTAAGCTAAAAACTTGTTTCCTCTACTAAAAATGTATTTTATAATAAGTAAACCTGATTAAAACCTTACAAGCAATATAGACTTGGAGAAATGCTCATTGGTTATACAAATTATTCGATTTCAATGATAAAATCTGAGATATACTTATAGGAATATAAATTACAAGTTTATTATATCTACACTATGCTTAAAAAGTTTTTCTAAGAGGAATATAAGCTACTTCCGTCATAAGAAAAATTGTTTGAAAAGTTGGATAACAGCAAATTCAAATAAAATTTATTATAACTGGAAGACACATACAATGCTCCTCCCTTGCTATAAGCAAAATTATTAGAAAATAGGCATTAAATAAATCTAAGGGTTACACCTAAATTTTATTGCATTTAATTAATGTAAATAGCTCCTCCATTAGAGTTTTTAAGATCGCTTAAAGAAAAACTCCAATTCTCTGTGAAATTTGTTTAAAAGATATAAATATTAGCAAGTGATGTAGCTTATATGTATAAACCTCCTCCTTAAAGCGATAATCCACCACTAAAAATACTGCTTAATATTTTTAAAGCTGAACATTGTATCATTGCTATACCTCCTAGAATACTATTACTACCACTTAAAAACTATAATTTTTATTGATTATTTGCATGTATTGTAAAGTTTGAATTCTGTATCTAAATTTAGCTTCCTTAGATATAAAGAAGATTATGGTTAGGATGATTCTAGTCATTTATAATTCTTGAATTTATTATTTCTAATTTCCCAATTACATTTTTCAAGTTAATTACTGTTGAAAAAAAGGTATCAGTCTTTTTTTATGTTAAAAATTGTAAATAAATAAATAATTTTATTGGTTATAAATTAAAATTTTACTTAAAAGTTTATAGGTGATTGAATTGTATTATAAGCTTATATAAAGTTCATTTTAGTATATCCTTGCATGATTGTGATTTAAGCAGCACTAAAAATTTGTATATTAAGTTTAATGCTTTTTTATTTTCTTAGCATGATCTAATTAAATATAATTGAGTTGAAAGTTGCCTAAAATTGATTTGGGTCAAATTAATTAGTAATTAATTAATTGACAATAAGTAATATCTCATCAGCAATAATTTGATTAAATATTACACTTTTCATTTCTACTTATTAAATCAAGTCTTAAATATTTATCAAGTTTAGCGATATGCTTTGACTAATTTTATCTCCAAATAATAGTGTCTGTATTGAAGCCTTATTCACTCCAAAAGCTTGTATGATTGTTATAAGCTATGGTTCATTAATATTCCCATTACTTAATAATAAAGAATTTGTCTATTTAACTTAAAAATAGTATATGTTGTAATTTTAGCTGTATTTATTTTGAGATATATTAAAATTACTGATTATCACATCCATTTTAAATTTACCACTTTAACTAAAAAATAACTATTCAAAAGAGTTAAAAGTATTATTAAACACTATAATTTAGTCTAGGCTAATAATCATTTAATCTTAGAAATCAAGAACAGGAGAAAATTAAATGAATTATGCTTTTTCAAAATAATTTGATTAAATTATTATATTTTATGCTTTTATTGTGTTAACTTAGAACAACTGCATCTTCACTTTTTAATATTAATTTTGCTAGCAATTTGAATTAGTAAAAGTAAAATTTATGAGAGAAAAATACATAAATCTCTCCCCCTTTAATATTTAAGAATAGCTTAAAAACGTAGAATTTTAAAACAACATGTTTGTAACATTTGAAATGCTTGTAATTTCTTAGCCATAAAAGTAACTTGCAAATACATATGATTGATAACTGAGTGATCCATGCATAAATTTAAAATATTAAATATCTAAATTGCTAGGGCTACTAACTGAAATAAACTTAGATTTTTGAGAAAAATCTGAATTTAAGATAGACAAATTTATCAATTAGTAAGTTATAAATGTAGGTTAAAAGTCTGAATGAACATTTATGAGAGTCTATTAATAAAAGCTACAGTTATTAAACAAGGTGTTATTCATGATAAATGTCCCATTAAAATTATCGAAATATGTTTAAAGTTAGTTTGTATATTAGCGTTAGCACAAGAATGTTGTGTTCTAAAATTCTATATTATTTACATGGTCTTCATATATTTTGAAACCAAAATTTTTATTCAAATCTTTTGGTTAGATATTCATATTTTAAATCTTAAATGAGCTAAAACCTTTAAAAGTAGCTATGTCTTTTTATAACATTACATAATCTGTTAAACTGTTAGTTTAGTTTGCATTCAAAGTGATAGAAAGAGTCTAAATTGAAGGAATCTTATTTTTAACATTTGTGTTGATATTTAAAGCAAAGTCCAAAGTGCAAACTCTTGATTTATCAATGAAATTTATGGTAAAATCAATTTATTTTAGTTGAAGTTCATTAAAGTAAGCTAATGATATATCGAATTCTGGTTCATTTATTATAAATTTATCAAGATTTATTTCATTTATTCTATATAAATTAAGTGGTTCATCAAACGTACCTTTACCTAACGGTTGGCTAGCTGTCCCACATTCAGCAAAGATCTCACTTTTTTTTTTAAAATAGCACCCATTATCATTTTTCAGACAATAAATGCATCTCTTTCTTGCTTTATCATATCTGATTTCATATTTTTACATATCTCCGTAATTACTTGGTAATTATTGTTTACAAGAATAGCATTTTACTTTATACAAACTTAAAGGATCTAAAACAAAATCTAAATGGTTATCTTCACAAGTTTCACATCTAATAAGAAATATTAAATTATTTTAATAAAAGAATTTTAAAAATGAAAAATTTATAAATCTTTCTCCAAAAAATTATTTAAAAAATTTTATTTCTATTAAAATTCTATATTAAAATTATTTCAAACAAAATTGTTTATTTCTTTGTTTATAAAAATAATTGTTTAAAATATTTTAACAACAAAGTTCCTATTTTTAAATTTTATAAATTATTATGAAAGAATAATGTTAAGTTATTATTTTAGATCTATGAATAAAATCTGAAAAATTTTTTATAAGAAATTAAATAAATTAAAAAATTTACAGAAGTGGACAAATTTAGCAATTTTTTTATTAAGAGTCAAATGTGACCATTTATTAGAAGTTGCTTAGAAAATTGGTTCCGTAATGAAGTTTAGATATATAACCTTAAATAGGAGCTATGAGATTGAAAAGTTTTGTATAATTGCAGGATATACATAAAGGACTATCTTTAAAATTTATGCAATTTTGGCAGTATTTACCACATTAAGGTTTTTAACAATTTTATTGTGTATAATCAAGAAAAGAACCAAATTTACAATCTGAGCACTTCATTTTTATCATAAAAATGTTTTTATAATTAAGCCTTTATTATAAAGAAAAATTGATTGTGGTTTAAGGTGTATTGATTATGTAGTTAGTAAAATTAACTCTTTAAAAGTTAATATATCCTTCTTCATAGCAGGTTTAACAAGTTTCAGGGCAAGGTATACATCCAAAAATGCTTGGAATATATCCTTAAGAACAAACTTTGCATTAATATGTATTATCAGTCGAAACAAAACACTCAAGACATTAATATATCTTTATTTTTAACATTAATAAGACTCATTAAAAATAATTTAATATTTACCTATTTTTTGCATTCAGTATTGAAATCACAAGATACGCTTCCTCCTTAATAAATAGTTGGAGATCCGTTTAAACAAGTATTTAATGTAGTTAAATAATAATAAGAATGTTTATGATGATGATGATCATCATCATCATCATCGTCATCACCATTATTTGCATATTCACAGTTATAAACATAATCTAAATTTTTTTGAATTATAAAAAAACAATGATTAATAAAGAAAATATAAACTAACACTTAAAAAAATATTTTAGTTTTTTAATAGTGAGAGCTCAAAATTTTAATCAATTTAATATTATTGGTATATGGATGTTGAGAAATAAGGTTTTTAGTAATTAATCAACAATTTAAAATTAATACCCTTCTTATTTTAAGTGATTAAAAATTTCGTAATCTAAATTGTTTACCTCTAATCAAGGTTAAAAATATAATAAGAGAGAAAAAATAACTTAACTTAATAATTATTTATATGATTATAGAGTTATAAAAGTTATTATATCACTTCAGAAAAATTTGCAATTAAAAAATATTTATTTTAGTGAAACTAAAACTCTTTTATCTGGCAATATGATTTTATTTTTAGAATGATAAATAAAATTTTATAAAAATAATATTGTGAATTACTTCTAGGAGAATAGCTCATATCTACACATGAGCTATTATTATATAAGCATGAATTGTAATTACATGTAATACAATATTATTTTGATGAATTTGAAGATAAATCAAGGTAGGTCCTTAAAGATAAACCCGTATTTAAGTCATTTAAATCTTAATCTAAACAATTACTAAATTCTTAGATCTTGTCACAATCTTTTCCTAAAATTTAAATGAATTAATTTATGAATGTATTATTTAAGATATGATAAAAAAATTACTATTTGAAGACAATGTATAACCTGGTTTGCATTTTATACATTTTAAAATTTAGTATACCTCGTTTCTAAAATTTTATTTTCTATAATTTACTAAGTCTCCTTAAAATTCTTATATTTTTTTATAGTTTATAAAATTTTTTATTGAAAAAAATTGTAAATATACCATAAGCGCACTCGAGACAATATAAACCACATTAATCACACTAATTAAAATTCGGACTAACAGTGTACTAGGTATTACATTCGATACATGCAAATATAGATTTAGAAAAATCATAAATTCCTTAATCTAAATCTTCTTTTGGTATATCATCTATAAGGATAGGTAAGAAGTTTTAATCAAATAAGGCTCTTCCACATTTTTAACAGTTTAAAGGGCACTATTAGCAGATACCATTTTAGTCAGAGTAATAATAATCAACACATCTGTAGCAATATGGTTTTTTATTTGGATTGGAATCACACCTTATACACAGATTGGAACCTAATATAAAAAATTAATTATTTATTATCTTGCACATATTAATTCAATCTTAAATATATATTATTTACATGCAAAAGGAGAAACTTGCTTTTTTTGTATCATTAGGCTAGCAAGTTGTCTATTAGCTTAATTTGAATCTAAGTTTTGAGAATTTCCACTTTGAATGATGTAATACAAAAATTTAGAATAATTATTCGTAAATCTTTTTATTCCTGCAATTTACACTACCATCTTTGCACAATTCTTATATTTCAAAGAATTTAAATTCCTATATAGATAGATATGTTTATTATTTTAATTTATTTATCTTAAAATTTAAAATTAAATAAATACCAGTCTTCATCCTAGATGTTACATTCTACACATTTATATGATTAAGTGCCATATTAACTTAAAATTGGATCTTAACTTATGGTGGTGTATATATTTGTATCACACTTAATACAAAATTAATTTTAAGTCTATTTATCTTAATATAAGAAATAATCCTCTATACATTAAGTGCACATATTTAGATTATCACATTTCTAGCATCTTTTTTTAAATAACATAAAAAATGTGGATTATTGATATAATGTAATAATTTTAAATTTTAAACATATTTATCTTTTATTTAAATTTATATTATGGAATACTTTTTTTTGTTGCAATAACTTGTATAAAACTTTTTTTTAAGTGTGAAAAAAACATTACAGTAACTAAAATTAATTTAACTCACATAACTAATTAATAAAAGAAATTAATTACCCTTCAGGACATTTTTAGTTTGAAATTAAGCAATCGCTTTTTGGGTAACAATCTTCAGATACATATTAAATATCTAGATTAAAGTAAGGGTAATTATTATTGTTTGATTTTTAATAGCAAATTCCATCTCCAGGATTATAATAATATTTTGGACAGAATAGACAATTTTTTGTTTTTTGTGCTTCAGCTATAGGTAAACAAAAATAATTATTATCAATGCATAAATTCTCTTAATATTTATTAACAGAGTTGATATCTTACAATATACATTCTTCGTCTTATCTAAACTAGTAAAGACAATTGGTTTAAGAGTATTGTAAGTTATACATATACTTATAATAGATACAAAGCTAAGTCCTTTTATTTAAGCAATAATATTTAGGACAAACTACGCAATATGGTTAAGTTGATGACTAAAAATTAGAGCAAAATCCTAAATAATTAAATAAATTTTGTGTTTAGAAAAATAAAAATATAAAATAATACCATTATAATCTTAGCAGTATACTGCTCCTAAAGGAATGCATTTTTTAGTTTACTAATTTAAACATTCTGTGTAAGAACAACTTGAACAATTCTATATAGGGTCTTTAGAAAATATACAAGCCCCGTATACATCAGAGCAAACAATATCATTACTCAATACTTTGGAACAAAATTAAATTCCTTAACTATCTTTCCTAATACAGTATTCTCCTTTGAAACAATATTCCTTTTATAAATGTAAATACAGAAATGAATAAATTATATTTAGATGAATATTTTACTATCTTAAAATTGTTAACAAGATTATTATTGTCATCTTCCTTAACACATTTTTGAGATTATTTGTATCTGCCTATGATAATTATTTAATTCATAATTTATAAATTAAAATTTGAAAGTCTTTTTACCAACTTAAGAACTAATTTTAAAATCTATTTGAGCACAAAATTAATCTTGGGGTTCATCTGAAATACCTTTCAAACAAAAGCTAAGTTATTTAAATTAAATTAAATTTTAGATTTATAAAATCTAAATAAAAACCTTTGAAAACATTATATTGCACCAAAGACTCCTTTTTCTCCTTCTTACAGGCATTTACTTGTTTTACCTTCTCTCCCAGGATTCTAAACAGACAAAGGCAGACAAACTTAATTTAGCAAACAATAGCCCACAGTACAATATAAAGATTAATCTGTGTATGCTGGTTAACATTTTTAGAAAACATCTCTAGCAATTGGTTGATTAATACTTAATGGTTGACACTCACCTTTATCATTGATGCATAAAAAACCATCAACACAGCTGATTGTGGAGGCTATTATTTTTATATTTAATTTTATTACTTTCTATCATTCATTCATTTTATTTAAATCAAATAAGTGAAAACTTACATAAAAATAGATCTTAACATTTCCCTAAATTATTTTTTGCAGGAACCCTATTTCCTGGATATTAAGTGCTTTCTAATTACAATGAATGGCATAAATATCTTTACTATTTAGATCTTATTCTATTAAATTAGATAAAAAATTAAAAAAATATACACTTGCATGTTTATAATAAGTATGTATTGATAAAATTACGATGTTGGTATTTAGAATATGCAATAATTTGGATCACCACATTCATCAATACCTTTTGATTTAGTTAACAATTTTTATTAATTATTAATAATTTTCATAAACCTTTATATTAATATAATTATTTTATTTTTGGTGGGATAATTTCAATAAATAACTTGGAAGTAAAGAAACTAAAGCGAATATTTATTTATTTGTTAATATTTACCAATTTTACTAATTTCAAACTAAGCCAGACATCTTTGAGATAAACTTTCTATTCCTACATATTACTAATCTCCCAGGTAAGCACCTAGCTGAAAGCAATATCTTTAATTACTTTTAACTTAAATAATGCAGAAACCAATTGGGCAACTTTTTATTTTTTACCCCTTTTACTGAATACTTTATATATAGGGAAAAGTGAGGTCTGGCGATTAATTTTTTAGACTAGCTTTTTTTAACACATTTATATAATAATAATTTAGAATATTTTTACTGAGAAAATAAATACTGAATAAAAATTCATATTCAAAATTGCACTCAATTAACATTTTAGAATGATTTTTACTAGAAAATAAATACTGAATAAAAATTCATATTCAAAATTGCACACAATTAACATTTTAGAATGATTTTGATGAGAAAATAAATACTGAATAAAAATTCATATTCAAAATTGCACTTAATTAACATTTTAGAATGATTTTTACTGAGAAAATAAAATATAAATATAAAATAGTGAGTAAAATTTAATAAGAGTTTAAAATAAGAAATTAAATTAACTTTTGAAAAATAGATGGTAATTATTAATAAGTACAAGATAAATAAGATATATGGAAAATAAGTTTAATTTTGAAAAAAGAGCGATTAATATTTTAGAAGAATAATATTTATAGAGAATCTTATTAAAATGTATGAAATAAATAGATTGTAATATTTTTGAAAGATTTTAATGTAGAAGGAAGAATTAATTTTTATATGAAAACATTAAGTAAGAGTTATGTAAATATAATAAATCTAAAATAAAACAAAGATATATTTATTCGGTAAGTTATTATTTTTAACAAATGATCCATATTCAACAATATAATATCTAAGATAAGGAAGATTTCAAGGTAAAATTCCTAGATATGTTACTTTCGAAGTTTAAGGATAATGGAATGAAATTTTAATTTATGGAGATAGTGGAAGAATGATAAGACCTTTATTTGTAATTGAAACTAAAGATTAAAATAATTAAATATTCTAAGAAATAAAAGATTAAAATTAAATATATGATTAATTAATTGTTAAAAAGAAAATATAAACTTGGGAATAATTTTTATCTGAATTTCCTTAAAGTATAGAATGGTGCGATATTTAAGAAATAAGTAATAAATTAGTTTCACCAAGTGCTCAAATATTAGAATATAATAACTTTTTAAGAAATAGTAGAATTAATGGATAATAAAAAAATATATCATTATAAGAAAAAAACAGATATGTAGGAGTATATTTAAATTTTGATTTGATGGAAATTCATCCTATAAATGTTTTAGGTATAAATCCTTCGACTATTCCTTATCCTCATTGTAATTATGCACCTAGAAATATTTTTGCTTTTGTTCAGATGAAGAGAAGTGTTTAAAAACCATATAGTGATAATGATTTGAGATCTGATATAAATTAATATCTTATTTTAGGTTCTGCTCCTTTAGTTTAAACAATGACAACAAATATGATAAATACAAATGAAAAGTTTAACGGTACAAATGTATGTATTGCAGTATTGTAAGAACATGGATATTAACAAGAAGATTCTATTACAATTTCATCCAGATTAGCAAAATCTATGTATTTATAATGTAAATAAGATATAATAGAAGTTGTTATTTAGAAATAATAAACTGGATCGACTGAAATTATAGGAAGACCAGACAGATATAATTAAAGGTAAGAATGGAGATGTTAAAAATTTCTAACATGATTTAAATTATGAAAAATTAGATGAAAATGGATTAATTAGAGAAGGTTCAGTTGTAAGAAAAGGTGATATTGTTATAGGTAAAATATTAATTTTAAATCAAGAAGATTAAATAATTGATAGGTCTATAAAGTTTGAATATGAAGAAGGAATAATTTTAAAAGTGAAATAAATTAATGTTGATGGATAATAAAAAATTATAATAAGATTTATTATTCCATTATATCCTTAAATTGGTGATAAATATGCTGCAAGATGCGGATAGAAGGGAACAATTGGAACAATTAGAGATGAAAATTAAATGCCATATACAAATGATGGTACACCAATTGATATTATAATTAATCCTTGTTCATTTTCAACCAGAATGACAATAGGTATGAATATTGAATAATATACTTCTTATCTTGTGTTATTAACTGGATTGTTTTTGGATTCTTCAATGTTTTGCGATGTAAAAGATTAACTTAATAAAACTTATAAACATTTATTAGATTATTATAATAAAATGTAAAATCTTAATGATACAAATCAAAGTGAAGAAGATAGATAGATAAGAAGAAATATAAAGAAATATATTGGGATAGAAAAAGATTTATTATCCTTTAACTGGAGAATTTATTGGATATGCTCAAGTTGGATTTGTATTTTATGCTGCTCAAGAATAGAAAGCGTTTAGTAAACTTTATGCTGTAGGATTTAATGAAGCTTATAGAAACTAAGTATTTTAACCTAGAGATGGTGCAAAGAATAATGGAGGTTCGAGATTGGGTGAAATGGAAATGGCTGCATTTTTATCTGCAGGTACAACAAATGTAATAAAATAATTCGCATGGTAGCACTCAGATGGTTTTGTTGTTGATATATGTTCTCATTGTGGTTTATATGCGCATAGAGATTAGAATTAATAAAAATATTATTGTAAAAATTGTAACGGTAAAAGTGAAGTTGTTAAAACATAAATATAATATTCATCGAAACACTTTAAGGATTTATTGAATTCTTTGGGTATGTCTATTTATTTCAAACCAAAATAGAATATATGATTATGTTGATTTGATGTGATTTTATTTATTTATTTTTTTTTTTTAATTATTTATTTATTTTTTTAATTATTTATTTATTTATTTTAAATATTTAAAACTAAAAGTTTTTTATTTTTTGTTTTTTTTTGTTTTATTTTTGTTTTTTTGTTTTTGTTTTTTTTATTTGTTTTTTTTTTGTTTTTTTTAATTTTATACAATGAAATTTTAATTTTCAATATATTGGTGTAATCGAATTAAAATCAGAATCAAAATAATCTCTTGTTTAGTTTTTCATATACTATTTTTAATTATTTATTTTATTCTATTTTGTAAATGCATGGATTAGATTGAACATTGAAGAAATATGGAAGTTTATTTATATCATTTTTCTTATCAAATTCCTTTCCAGTGTAGCTTTTTTGAAGTTCTTCATTAGCTAAAATAAAATTATCCGATTCAAATAATACTAAAGGCTCTCCATAGAAATCACATGAGAATAGCAATTTTTTCATTACAGCAAAAGCAAAATATAAGTTAAATTATATGCTCAAATCCTAATTAAACATTTTTTACATTTTATCCATTAAATTTTCAATTTCCTTTTAATGGAAATAAATCATTTTTGTAGAAATAATTTATTTATCCTTCGAGTTCATTTCATTATCAAATGTTTTCAAATTAGGAATAGATTTTTTAATAAAATACGATACTGTTTCGTAATTAAAAACGACATAATCAACGAAATCTGATTAATTTTTACTGCAACCGGCAATAAAAGTTGCAAAATGTTTTAAATTTTTATCCACAGTATCTATAAATCTTTTTGAATTTTAAACATTTGTTGGATTTAACATATGATTTTATAATTATTCTCTTGTTAAATCAAGGCACCCATATGGTTGTTAAACAACTAATTTATCTACCAAATTATTGAATAAGACTTCGCTAAATGGAGTTTGATTTCCAAGTTTGTTTTTAAAATGGATTTAAAAAACTTCCATGAAAATCTGGTTAAAGAATTGATAGAGAGTATCATAATCGTTTTTGGTGTTAGGATTATGAACAACAGTGAAGTAATATTTCTTTTCACTTAATTTTTAGAATATGTCTAATCTATTATACACAACTTATTTTTTTTAATAGAGATATTCATACAATGTTTACTTATTACTTCCTTAAGATAACTGTTATTTGATTAAAAAGCATTCATTAAGATTATCTATTATTTCTTCCATATTTATTTCTTAGAATTTAAATTCTGGAATTTGACCTTAACTTGATATAGGTAATCTAGGCTTTATAGTTACCTCTGAAAAATCTTTGCTTTCAATTACAGGATATTGTTTATTTCTAAACATACTAAACATAAATTATGATTCAGGATTAATAGTGTATGTATCCATATTAAGTGCGTTTATTCTTGATTTTATTATAGGTGTATTCGTACTATACACTTTCATTCCAAGTTCAAGAATACGTTAATCTGTACATTAGGGTGAAGTTTCACTTTAAAGTATTTTTTCATTTTATTATTTCATTGCTGCGTTGTTAGAATATTAAGGCCTACCTTATGGTTTTTTAAAAATAAGTTCTTAATTAGAAACTTATTGTATTTTTTCTTCTACTTACTATTCTTTTTCTTCTTTTTCTTCTTTTTTCATTCTTTTTTTCTAAACTCGTTAGGAAATCTCAATGTCATTTAAATCCTGAGAATTACTTGTTTTCTTTGACTTTCTGTTACTCATTTTTTGTTATGTTATTTACTTACTTTTCTATTATTAAATATATTATCTTTTCACAAAAATTATTTTTCATTTTTTATTAATATTTAAAACTAAAAGTTTTTTATTTTTTGTTTTTTTAAAAATATAATATATAAAGAAAAAAATATTTTTTTTATCTAGTGTAATATCATTATATTATTCATTTATTTAAATCACTCATAAATTAAATTCAAAATTAGCTTAATTTTTTTTTTAATTCTTAGTATTGAATATTTTAGAATTCACTATATTTTTCTTTTGTGATACGTAGGTTAGTTTTATATGGTTCATAATCTTATTAATATTACGGATTAAAACTTCTAATATAACTTTACTGTATTTTAATCATCGAATCTTAATAATTCCTTAAATCATTCTAACTCAAAGGAATACCTAAGAAATCAGGAAACAAATAGTATTTTTCCATCATCGCGAATATGATATAAAAATCTACATACTTAATTTGATATCCTAACATTTATTGATACTTGATAATTTTTTTTATCATATTTTCATAATGCATGTATATTGCTACTTGTTAATATTCGTTTTTTTCATTTATTTATCTTTATGCCAATTCAAAGCGATATTCTGAGGGATCTTTCATTTAGCTATTTTCAGGAAATGTTGTTGTATCAAAGGTCATAAAGACACCTTTCGAAGGAGTAAAAGCAGTATTGTAATTTGCTAAGTGGACTAGATTACCATCGATTAAATTTAAAAATCTCAAATTCTATTTAAAAATAAGTTCCTAGTCGAATAAATCACCAAACTAATTATGTTATACTGTTATGATTTAAAAAGGAATATTGGATACCATATTATCAATTATTATTTGGTAGAAATTTTTATCAAATTAATTTTCAAATTTTTTTTTCTAGAAAAATTATGATGCAATATTCATAAATTACTTATGAAATTCTTCATTATATTTTGAAACTCTTGCTTCCCATACAGGGTCTAATAACTTTCTATACAATTATAGACTGTAATTTTTTAATTATAGTTTTTCCTTTAATTCGGCATTAATTTATTAAGCATAACCTTATAAGGTTTCATCTCCAGATATTCTTTCTTCTATTACGAATCTGAAACACAAAATCAAATTTTCGAGGATTTAATGGAATTAATTTTTTTTTTAATCTTCAACTGTAAGACTGAAATAAAATTTATCCTAATTTCTATTAGAAGATTCCGAATCTTCGTTTTAATTATTTCCCTAAACTCTTATTCTTGCTACATTCATTTAAGAATCGAATTATTATTCAAATTCATCGTTTTCCGATTTGCGCTGAAATTGTTTTTTAACTATCAAATTTAATTAATAATCTTATACTTATTTATATTTATCTCCACCCATATCTATAATAGGTTAAAGAAAAGTTAAATCATTATTAAAATGTCCTGAGTAAATATCATATAAATCTGATATCTAGTTTTATAAATCCTAGGCTTCAGATTCATTTAGAGGAACTCCATAGAAATCACATTCTAGAAATAGTTTTTTTACTATAGCCAATGCTAGATAAATTTCATACTATTCTCTAGTGTCTTAATTATATTTATATGCATGTTATTATAAACTTTTAGAAATGTTGTACATATTTACATAAACCTATAACTGACATACTTTTACATTTTTTCTTGGAATTATGGGTTTTGTTAAATTATAAAATCTAGATACTTCCTAACCTTTAACACCTAACATATCTTTATTGGTGCACATTCCAAACCCTTCAATATTATTATTATCATCTTTTAAAACAATAACAAAATTCGCAATCCCTTACAAACCATAAACATCAACTCCTTTCATGAATTTCTCTGTTACTCTACAAAAATTTTTATATTTTATGAAGTGATTTACATATATTTCACCTGGAATGTCATACTTTTTAAACGGCATTTAAGTAACTATTTAATCAAAAATTTCATTGAATAAATAATCATTGAATTCAACGCCTAATTCTTGATTATAAAAAAACTTTTTAGCAAGAATTAAAAAATCATTTTAAAATTCTTCTCTTTTATTTAATTTTTCATAAAATTATCTATTATTTTAATTATTTTCAATTTTAATATCCGATATTTATTTGAATTATATCATACTTTATGCCTTTAAAACTACATTATTATTACAATACTTTGATTCGAAATTTTATCTAACTGTTTCAAAGAAAGTTTTTCCTTTTTCAAATTCAATTTCTTTTTTGAACATTTAGTAAATATATTAGTACATTTTGTCATGATTTTCAGAACTTAGCTTATAACTTTCTTCATCTATCTAACTATTATCTATCTGTTTCTGTTCTTCGTCATTATTTTTCTTTCCAAAATCTATTTATTTTTTATTCTAAAACAATTCTTTGTTTTATTGTCTATATTTTTCATAGTCGGAAGATTAATTATTTCTATCCATTTTTATTATATTCAAAACTAAAAGTTTTTTATTTTTTTTTTTTGTTGTTTTGTTTTATTCTTTTTTTTTTTTGTTCTTTTTTTTTAATTTGTTTTTTTTTCTTTTTTTTAAAATATATAGAGAATGAAAAAAATTATTTTTAATTTAGAGTTATCAATAATTCATATTTGTTGTTCAAATTATTTTAAATTACATTCAGAATTTATTTAATTTATTATTTATCAGAATTCTTTATTATTCCTAAGCTTATCTATAGCTTTCAATATCAATTTCTAAATTAGATTTGTAGGGTTCATAATCTACATGTTTAACAGGATCAAAGTTTTTAATGTAGCTTTTTTACATTCTAATTAATGCATCTTGATAATTTTAGATTTACAATTCGCTTTCAAATAGAGGAATACCTAGGAAATCAGGTACAAGAAAGAATTTTTCTATCAAAGCAAATGAAAAATAAAATTCAAAATTCTAAACATCCTGAAATTTCATCATATTTTTCTAATGAAAATATATTGCTAATTATTAGAATTTATTTTATTTCTACATTATCATTTTCTTTAATTAGATACAGAATTTATTTGATTCCCTTAATTTGCTTTTTTCAGGAATTTAAGAAGTATTAAATTTTAAAACTATTCCACTAGATTCTTAAACTCCGTAGTTGTAGCTAGCAATGTGTACTAAATTGTAATTTACTAACCAATTAAATCTTATTGCTTATTATTCGACGAGATGTTGATCGATCAGATCATTAGCACTTTCAATATCCACTGTTAAAGTCTGGAATGGAATTTGAGAAATCATATTATCCAAGACTTTTTCATAATATGTCCTATCGAAAGGATTTTTAATTTTCTCCAATGTAAAAAATTCTGATGCAATTTCTATGAATTATTGATGAAAAACATGATTATGCAATTCGTATTTGTTTCTGATATGTTAAAAATCTATAATTTTTCTTGTTTCCTAGTCTTTTTTGTCTAACTAGTATAAACGAAATAAATTTCTATTTATTTGTGATGCATAACCAAATAAACTTTGATTTACAATTTAAACATTTTTAAATGTTTTTTCTTTTGATATTGATTTAAAACATAGAATTGTATTTTCTATTTTTTAGCAGAATTTTTCCTCATTACGTTCAATCTGCCATTAAGATTATGTTTCTTCTTCAATTTCGTCATTTTTATAAGGTATATATAATGTATCCCTTTTAGAAACCTTAATCTCGATACTATCATTAATAGCTGCTTAATTATCGATTCTTATCCTTGCCTTTAACATTTCAGGTTCTATTTATTAATGCAAAAATTCTGCATTGTTAATTGCATCTTATGCGAGAACTTTTTTTGGATTTATTGTCTTATAAAGTTCATAGTTTTCTTCTTTTGCTATTTAATATCTTTAGAATTCTTCTTCTTCTTCTAATAATTATTTAGAAGTTTTGTTATTATTATTATTATACATTCCTGTACCTTTATCTTATTCTTTTCTAATCTATAATTATATTACCTTTTCACAATTATTATTTTTCAATTTTTATTTAATTTCAATTTTAGATAAATTAAAAATTAATTATATCGTTAAATAAAAAGAAAATCAAATCAAATCAAATCAAATAAAAATTTCATACATCGAACAGAACTTGCATTTCTGTCCATTCTAATTCTAATTACATTGAGAATCATAAACATGAATATTCTCATAATCATAAATACCTTTATATATACTAACTTTTTAAGGTAAGAATTCCATTATTTAATTAAAAATAGACAAACGTTAACTCAATCCTTTCCATTTATTATCATTTATCATATTAAACAAAAATATATCTTTACATAATTTCTTATAACATCTATAAATTAAAGCAATGTTATTATTGAATTTCTTCTCATAAATGGATTAAATCTTCTATAATATGAAAAGTTCATCAGGTTTAACTCTGATTTTATTTTTATTATCCAAATAAATCTTTGTTTAAATTGGAACATAACAAGATTCTCTTTCATTTTCATCTTCAGAAAATATGTAACTCTTGTTAAAGACTTATAATTCATATTCTAAATCAAGATATTGATAAATCTTATAGAGTATCAAGAATGTAATATCATCAAAATAAGAATTATTTAATTGTTCTGAAAACATACTTTTTCCTTTTCTTATTATTAATACCATTTTTAAACCTGACTCATTTTCAGGATCTTTGTCTTCTATTATATTGATTATTATGTTAAAAGATAGAAGATAATTATTAAAATGGAAAGTTAGTTTTCTTTCTTATTTTTCAATGTTTCCTAATTTTATGCACATATTATAGAAATTAATGGCTTATGATATAAATACTTGTATATCTTCACAAGATTATTTAACTAAATTATTTATTTATATCATTTTTAAAGAGAAATTTTAACCTGATCTGAGATACTCGATTTTATTATAATTTATTGTTTCATATATTTTTTTCTATTACTTTATGTAAATTTCTTATTTGTGGAAATTCAAACTATAATGACCATAATTGAACATTTTCTTTGTTTTATTCCATGAATTTCTCTCTTCTTCTTCGTCTTCAAAAGGATAGTAATCTATGAATTACTTATTTAATTATAGTGTTTATTTGTTTATATGTTTGTGATTTAGATCATATATTTCTTGTTTTTAGTTTCCTAAAAATTATAAGAATCCTTTTACTATGTATGTTGTTTTACATTATGCTTTATTCTTTATTTTAATTGATTTTTGAATATATTATTTTTATCTTTTTTCTGAATTATATTTTTCAATTTTTTTCCACCTCAATTCCAACTATTCGTTCAAATAAATTATTCTGTTGCTCTATATAATTTGATTCGTTCAAATAAATTATTCCGTTGCACTACATAATTTATTTTCACTCAATATCTATTTTTTTATCACCTAATTATTCATTCCAATTCTAACTATTTTTTTATCACCTAATTATTCATTTCAATTCCAACTATTCGTTCAAATAAATTATGTAGTGCAACGGAATAATTTATTTTCACTCAATATATATTTTTTTATCACCTAATTATTATTCCAATTTTAAATCAGAAAAAAGAATTAAAAAAATAATTAAATATTCTCAATTGCAGCACTTAATTATGTCTGAAGAAATAATTAAATGAGCGCGAATAAATTTTGTAGTGAAACGGAATAATTAAATGAGCGCGAATAAATAGGAAGAATTAATTTGATCTTATTTAATTTGATGCTCAGAATTTATTTGTTTGTAAAGATTTCAGAGTTAAAATTGTATCAATTTATAAATAAAAAATAAAATAATTTATCTAATTTTAAATCAGAAATAAATAATAATAAAAAAATAAATAAATTTCAATGTCGCACAGACAATTAAATCTGAAGAAATAATTAAATGAGCGCGAATAGCAGGACAGACAATCAAATCTGGAGAAATAATTAAATGAGCGCGAATAAATTATGTAGTGAAACAGAATAATTTATTGAGCGAATAGTAGAATAGCAGAATAGCAGGAAAGACAATTAAATATCAAGAAATAATTAAATGAGCGCGAATAAATTATGTAGTGAAACAGAATAATTTATTGAGCGAATAGTAGAATAGCAGAATAGCAGGAAAGACAATTAAATATCAAGAAATAATTAAATGAGCGCGAATAAATTATGTAGTGAAACGGAATAATTTATTTAGCGAATGAGGTGAAATGGAAGAAATAATTTGTGCGAATAATATGAAAAAAAAAATAATTATATATTTGAAAAATAAAAAAAATCTAAAGTAGAAATTATCTTTTCAATAGAAAAAATATAAAAAATATATAATTATTTGCACAATTTGATATTGATGGAATATTAGTTAGTAATTTCAACAAAATATCTGAATCTTGAGGGAAATTTAAAATTATTTTCAACACAATAATATGATGAATGTTATGCTGATGAAGAAAATAAATTTAGTAAATTATTAGAAAAAAATAAAAAAATACCTTATAATTAACTTAGATATGTAATAACACCTATATTTTTATCAGGAACATAAGAAATTTAACATTATATTGTTGTAATTAAATATGATTTGAAACCTCATTAAATTGTAGCTTAAATTTTAAATTTTATTATTCCTCAATTTTAATTCAAATTTTTAGATACATATAATTTTATTATTTATAAAAATATTAATGGAAATTAGGTTACTGTTGTAGATAGATACATAATAAGGAATTTATTAATATCCTAAATTGGATCCGAAAAAAGATAAAAGTAGATATATAATAAAATTAAAGAATGGAATATTTAATGGAGATTATACTTAAAGAAAGAAAACTAATGGAAATTATCATTTGATAAAAATTAATTTGTATTGCAAAAAGATAAAAAATTGGGGATTCATGGGGATTAGTAGGGGATTTTCTTTACTTTTTAATTAATTAAATTGTCTATTTTATATTATTATTATTGTTATTATTATAAA